TGCTTCGCGGCGGAGATGATCCGGGCGTACCCGGAGGCCAAGGTGGTGCTCAACGTGCGGCGGGACCTGGACGCGTGGCACCGCAGCGCGGTCAAGACGCTGGTGCACGTCAACGAGAGCTGGAGCTTCTGGGTGGCCAGCCTGCTGGACCGGGAGGCCTTCTGGGCGTGGCACGTCTACCACCGCTTCCTCTGGGCGCTCTTCTTCCGCGCGCCGGACGGGGACATGGCGAAGGCGATCAAGAGGAACGGGAAGTGGATCTACCGGGGTGAGTCTTTTTTTGTGTCCTTCAACCCTCTTTTTCTTCCCCCCCCATATCCCGTTTAGCCGGGGGAGACTGTATCGCTAACCATGACCCCATCCGCGGGGGAGGGTGGAAACAGAGCACTGCGACATGATCCGGGGCATGGTGCCCCCCGAGCGGCTGCTCGAGTGGTCGGCGGACGAGGGGTGGGAGCCGCTGTGCAGGTTCCTGGGCAAGGAGGTGCCGGACGCGCCGTTCCCGCACGCCAACGCGGTCGGTCCGGGCGGCGGGTGGAAGGCGAGGGAGGAGATGGCGACGAAGCGGTGGGTGGAGGGGGCGCTGACGAACCTGATCCTGATGGGCTTCGCCTTCGTCGCTGGGTGCGCCCTGTGGATGCGGTGGGGGAGGTGAAGATGGGAGAGAGAGGGGGGGAGAGAGGGAGGGAGAGAGAGAGAGAGAGGTTGAAGACGCTTACTCTTGAAAACTACACGCATGTAATGGGGGGGATGGTAATGGTTTTGTGGGTTTCTGTAATGTGATTCTGGGCGGTTGAGGGGGGGGGGGAGGTTAGATATTCAAGACGTGGTCGGAAGAGCGAGACATGCGGCGTCTGGGTTCAACGTCACACGCGCGCCTCGTGTGTGTGCGTGTGTGTGAGAGAGAGAGAAAAGCAGCTTGAATTATACACACATGACATACACACGTGGTATGTTGCGTAAACTGGACTCGGTGCGCGAGTAATAGGGTACGAGTTAATAAGTCGTCTAAGAGAACAGGCACATCAAAGGTAGGTACCGCGCCGGCTGTAGCTTTGTGCGAAAGGCTACAATCAACATCTGCCAAAAAACAACTTTGCCTCCCAATCCATCGTCGACGGGGACGGCATTGCCAGGCGTCAGGCCGGAGCGCCGGTTTCGGGCCCTCGCAGTGCGACTTTGCCGATGCCCGCGGAGGCCTTGGGGCGGCTTGCTCGCAGAAGGGAGAAGTGCAATATGCCAACGGTGTGATAACCTCGTCTCCCTGCGCTCCGGCTGGCTCGCGCAACAACTAAATACCGAAACACACTGCATCGGTGACAATCGCGACTGGGTGACGTGGTGAGCGCGGACGGTCTGCTGCGGGTTTGCCGTGTTTTCTCGCGCGCTGACTGAGTTTGAAACTCTCGACTGTGTCTTCTGTTGGCCAAGAGTATCCGTATCAAAGCCCCCGTCTCCCGACCCCGGCCGAACCGACAAACTATATCGAAAGACCATTTTTATTTATTGGCAATGTTATTTTAGCGATAATAAAAAACGCTTTGACCAACTTTCACCGATGGAATGCCCCCCCCCCCCCCTTGAAAGATGGTGGAAAACTCCCCTCAACAGCTTGGCGACACGTGATGAGACACTTCCAGATTCAGGTCGCCCGAAATTTCAGGGGAAGGGAGGGAGGGGGTTTGCAATTCTTGGGGGAGAGAGAGAGAGAGAGAGAGAAAGAGAGGGAAAAGCCCCAACAAAACTGCTTATTGCTTCACCCCTTCTTCTGATCTTATCTTCCATCTAACCCACGTACGAACTCCTTCGATGAACATTGGGCCGCGCGCCCGCTGAACGGGGTCAACGACAACCAAAAGAAGAACAAGGGCAACCCCCACACCGGAAACCAACAGCACAGGAGCGGCGAAAACCTGCAAACAGGAGAGACAGACAGACACACACATACACAGACGGAGAGAGAGAGGGAGGGAGAGACAGAGAGAGAGAGTCATGGACGCCCCGGGCGCCGCTGTCTTCAGGCGCAAACCCCTGCCGGGCCCTCCCCCGGGCCCGCCGCCGCCGCCTGATTTCGACCCCTTTCCCCAACGCCACCAGCCCCTCCGCGGCGCCCGGTCGACGCCCAACCTCCGGCAGTCGGCCACGCCCTCCATCCACGACCCGCCCCCGGCCTACGAGGAGTTCCCGGGCGTCGATTCCCGCGGCCGCCTCGCCGTCGAGCGACAGGAGTACAGGCCGTATCGGCCGCAAGCCCCGCCGTCGCCTTCCCATCACGGGGAGCAATCGGCACACTCGCCGGCACCCCCGGCTTTCGGAGGGTACCCTACCGCGCCCGCCGAGTCTGCGCGCCCCGGGATACTGCCGTACCGGCCGCAGCAGCCTTCGTCGACCTTCGGCCCCGGCCGGCAGCCGTCGCCCGCGCCGTCGGACCACGGGGGGGAATACTTCCCCGGCCCCCCCGCGACCGCTCCTCCCGAGAAGTCGCCTTACCAGCTCCAGCCGCCCTCGACCCTCGGCTTCGACAAGCAGTCGCTCGCCCCGCCCAGCCCCGGTCCGCACTTCCCCGGGCCGTCGCCGACCGCGCAGACGTTCCCCGCGGCCGCGTACCGGCCCTCCTCCTCTTCACCCACGTCCCCCGGTCCTCCGCCGACGTCGGGAACCTTCCCCCTCGCCGGCCCCCGCCCCCCCGTCTCCTCGCCAACCTACTTCGCGCCGCCCCCCTCGGGAGCGCCGCCGCCGCCGCCGCCGCCGCCACCGCCCGCGGCGACGGAAAACCCCCAGGCCGCGGCGGAAAAGTCCTTCTGGCAGACCGCCCTCGACGAGACAAAGTACCTGGCCGGCGGGCTCGTCAGCCACCCGTTCGAGTGCACCAAGCACCACTCCATCCTCCGCCACTCGGGCGCGCTCGTCTGGTACCGCGGCCCGTCCACCTCCGTCACCGTGACCATCTTCTCCGACGCGCCGCTGCCGCCGGCGCGCACCGTCTGGCTCCAACGGAAGGGCTTCTCGGGCAGCATGGGCATGGGCCTCAGGTCGCTCGTCGGCGCCACCACGTCCTGGCTCGACGTCACGCCCTCGTCGCGCGCCGCGCCCGCCGACCTCGCCGAGGGCGACGAGAGGGGGTGCCAGCGCGACATCAGAAAGTTCCTCAGGAAGCCGCCCGGGACCCTCGCCGCCCACGCGCCCAGGGAGACGCACGTCGTCCGCATCCCCGCCGCCGCCGACGACGGCTACTTCCGCCTCGTCCTCTGCTCGGGCGGCGGCGGCGGCGGCGGCAAGCGCAAGGTCCTCTGCCCGAGCCCCGTGTTCCGCGTCGCCAGCACCTCGGCGGACGCCAGCGTCGTGCGCGGCGCGAGCCTCGCCACCATGCCCCTCGAGATCGGCATCAAGGCCGGCTCCGTCGTCGCGTCGGCGGTCGTCAACAAGTACGTCGGCCCGGCCGCCGCCGTCGTGCAGGCCCGCGCGAAGAACCTCTCCAAGGCCAGGGCCGTGACGAAGCACGCGGCGCACATCGCGCACGTCAAGGCCGGCATCGACAAGTCGGGCGTCAGGACGCACGTCGCGGCCTGCGAGGACCGGTACGCGGCCGTGCGGGGCGCGGGCTACGACGCGTGGCAGTCGGGCGAAGGCATTGGCGGCGGCGGCGGCGGCGGCGGCGGTGGGTTCCAGGAGGCGCCACCCGAGGTCGTCGGCTCGGACGACGGGCCGAGCGAGCCGTTCCCGATAAAGTTCGACGGCAAGGTTGCGCGGGGCACCGGCCGCGGCGGGACGGAGCTCGGCGTGCCCACGGCCAACCTGACGGACGTGCCCGAGGACGTCAGGCTGCGCATGCGCGGCGTCTACTTTGGCTGGGCGCGCGTCGTGCCGCCCCGCGGCGGCGGCGGCGGCGGCCCGGGGCTCGAGGCGGAGGCTACGGCTGCTGCGGCGGGGGTGTCGGCCGAGTGGCACGAGAGCATCGTGACCGTGGGCCCGGCGCCGTACGCGACGCCGCGGGTGGCGGCCAAGAACGTCGTGACGGTGCACCTGATCCACGAGTTCGGCGGGGCGCGGTTCCTCGGGGCGCGGCTCAAGGTGCTGGTCATGGGCCAGCTGCGGGCGTCGGCGCCGCCGGCGGACGGGTCGGACGCGGCGCTGGCGGCCTACGGGGCCGACGTGCTGCTCGCGGTGGCCAGCCTGAGCCGCGACAGCTGGGGGCCCGACGAGACGCGGGAGAGGCTCCGGTCGGCGCGGAGCGAGATGAGCCTGGCGGACCGGTACGTCGAGGCGAGGGACCGCGTGCAGAAGCAGGTCGACCGCGTGCCGCTGCACCTGGCCGGGGTCAGGACCGAGGGGGCCGCGCTGAGGGACCGGGCGTTTGGGAACGGGGGCCTCTGGATCCCGAGGTGAGGCCGGTGAGTGTGTGTTGCAGAGATGCCAGGCGTCGGGCAATCTGGGCGAGTTTACGAGATTAGAGTTTGACTTCAGCCAGCGAGCATTTGTCAAAAGGTTTGCTGTGTTAGTAGGTATCTACGTATATTGTAATCAACAAGTATAGACTAAACGGGGCTTGAGATTTGGGCATTCTTGTACGCTGCGTGTGTCCTCACAAGGGGATGTGGTCAGCAAGTATCTTTGATTCTTGTCGGCCTCGAACTGGCCCGTAAGCGCCCAAGGGTTCGGTTACATATAATACCTTACGCACCGCCCGGTATCCAGCCGTCCTCCTAGCCGCCACGTCGGCGAACCTCCGGGCGTCCTCCACCCCCACACCGGCGGGCCCGTGCTCGTCTCCGACCCGGCCATTCCCCGGGAGCACCCCAACACGAGACCCGCAAAGCCCATTGTGAAAATTCTGTTGTGAAAATTCTGCAGTGAAAATTCTGCAAAAAAAAAAAATTCTCTTTACCTCGCAGGCAGGCCCTCCATGAATCCCGCCCATCCCGCAGACCGGACCGTTCTTGAACGCCAGTTTCTCGTCCTTTTCCCAACAGCGGTTCCACAACTGGAACTCGCTCCAACCCGGCCGGTTGGCCCAATGGCAAGGCGTCTGACTACGACTCGCGGATTCTTCTCAAGCTAGGGGATTCGGAGATTGTGCAATCAGGAGATTCTGGGTTCGACCCCCAGGCTGGTCAATCCTTTTGCCTCGTCCATGTCATGCACATGATGATGACATGGACGGTATATATAACTAAACGGAAAAGTTTTGCATCCTCCTGGGGGATTTATCTGTTCCGTCAATACAGAAAAGCGTTTTCAAGGAAGAGGCAAAACTTTCAATTTCGGTGGTTGGACATGAGCCTTGCCTTGCTTGGCCGTACGCCGAGCGAGCTTGGGTGGGCTGGAGTTCGACACCATGTAATGGCTAAAGCAAGGTCTGGCATCCCTTACTCCTGCCAACCAAATACCCATTGTTTGATGGACCATCTTCACTCACTCGCCATACACTCAGTCTGCTTTAGGTGAATCATTGGCAATTACATTATCGCGGTTTGCTACATAAAATCAAACGCTGCGAGGGGTATACAATCTCGTACGCCGTTGCCCGGGACACGTCCCAGTGGCAACCTCACACAACACAAATCACACCCGACGAGACCTTTAGGCGTGGATGGCCTGTTGGACGTGGGGGTATACACGGACCATCTCGTCGTAGAGCTGGGGGTGGTCGCGCATCAACACCTGGGGGTCCCAGGCCGAGGCAACAAAGATGGTGTCGATACCGCTGGAGATGGGCGTCGTGAAGACGTTGGCGATCTGGAGGCCGATGAGGAAGGAAAATGCAACAACGACGGGCGTGTAATTGCCGCCCTGGTTGTAGGCGGGGTTGGTGAAGACCATGTAGAGGTAGGCAAGGAGCGCGCAGGCGTAGCCGATGAAGGTGGCACCGAACGAGAGGACGGGGCCGATGAGACATTCCTGTACAATGGTCAGCTACCGAGTCCATCGACACGGATGTGGGAGGGAGCCCGAAGATTACTCACGTTGATAAGAGCATCAATGCCACGGTCCTTGATCATCTTCCACGTGTCCTTGGCGGCGGGGATGTAGGCCTTGCCGTAGAGGGCAATGTGGGAGAAGGCGTATCTGTTGAGGAAGCTGACGGCCCAATCCAGCAGCGAGATGAGGCAGCCCAGGATGCAGAACAGGACGTAGCCGACAATGTTGCCGTCTCCGGCGGCCTGGTCGCGGGCGATGGAGCAGAGGTGGCGCATGAAGTTGATGATGGCGACGATCAGGCTGCCGAAGCTGATGGAGCCGAAGCTGTGGGTCAGCGAGCGCTTGAGGGCGCCGCGGGTGGCGCCCTTGGGGAAGTTGTTGACGCAGAAGTACCACGAGCCGTAGACGCCCGAGATGGTGACGTGGATGACGTTCTTGAGCACCTCGGAGATCCAGTACATGGCAAAGGTGATGAAGACGATGAGGCCAATGACCTTGCCCTGGCTGCACTGGCCGCTCCTGCACTGCGGGTTGTTCTGGGAGGGCTGGTACTTTGAGTAGGTGGCGACGAGAGTGACCGAGTACCAGGCGGCGAGGGCGGCGGCGAGGATGCCGCCGAGGAAGGAGACGAGGTAGACGTGGCCGTACTTCTTGGAGACCTTGATGGAGGTCTTGAGCATGAGGGCGGAGAAGGGGATGCGGGGGATCCAGCTGATGAAGGCGAGGACGAGGAAGACGCCAAAGATGAGGAAGACGATGCCGCCCGAGTAGTAGCGGCGCGAGAGCATGTAGATTGCGGTGACGAAGGCGAAGACGATGTTGAGGATGCCGGTGACCCAGATAAAGGCCTTGGGGAACAGGCGGGCGACCCAGACGTAGGCGTAGCTCAGGACGATGGCGGCGGCGAGGACGAAGGCGAAGAGGACGATGGTGTTTGTGCTGAGGCCAAAGGTGTTGCGGCCATCGTAGATGCCGCCGCCGTTTAGGTTCTTGGTCGCGGAGTAGCCCGATATCGTCAGGCCCGAGACGGCGGCGAAGCCGAGGAAGACTGCGATGAACTGAGGCTCGGTGTTAGCGTCGTCACGACGAGAGAGGAGGGTAAGAGAGGAGAGGTGGGCGGCGCACCAGAATAGCAGCCCAGAGATCGTTGTATTTGGGCTTGTCGACCTTGAAAGCCTGCTCGAAGGTGTACTTCTCGGGGTCGTAACCCTGGGGCGGCGCATTGTACCCGTAGCCATTGCTGCCGTTGTCGTATCCCTGGGGCGGCGGCGGAGGGTAGCCCTGCTGGTAGTTGTTGTTGTACTGTTGGGCGTTCTTGGGATCGTAGGGCGGCTGCTGGGGAGGAGGGCCGCCACCGTAGTAGCCGGCCGACTGGCCGTATTGTTGCGACATTCTCTGGGAGAGGAGTCGACGACGACGACGACGACGACGACGATACTAGTCTAGATAAAGGGGTTTAACGACGACGAAGAGGGTAATGGAAAGACAATCAAGACTACCCAAGTACCTACCTACCTGCGTAGCGGAGATGAAATGGAGGAGAAAGGAAAGAGAGGTCCTGGAATAGGTAGGTAGTCGCGATGGACGGCGGAGGGGATGATTGATTCGAATGGGCGGTTTCGTTTGGTTTCGTTTTATTCCATGACGATGACGGCGCCATTTCATAAATAATTAAACTAATGACGGGAGCAGGCGCCCGTCCCTCATTTTGTGCCGCCGTCCTTTCTTCTTTGATCTCTCTTTGGTTCCCTCCCCTGCTCTCCCCTCCCCTCCTGGTCTGGGCTCTGTGCTCTGTGCTCTGTGCTCTGTGCTCTGTGCTCCGGGGGACAGTCCGTGCGGTCCGTACTTTGTTCTCCCCTTTCTCTCGCCCTGGCCTTAATTGCTTCTACTCTGTTTCCCAAGTACTCCGCACATGGATAGCCATAGAGGACCATAGGCTACTATACTCCCTCCGTTGGTACAATATCTGTATGTACTTTGCGTAGGCGCCCAAGTGTAAATGCCAGTCCGGCTAGCCTCCCACCCGTGCGCTGCGTATGGTAACGTCATTGGGCAGATGCAGACAGGAGCCAACCCGGGCATCGCCGCAGGGGTTACAGCAAGCAAGCAGTCCATCAGCTGCGCAGGGGTCAGTTACGCGTCGAATTGCCCAGAGTCACGTGCAAAGCAAGGCCCGTCTGGGTCTGTCGGTCTTGTCTTGGTATCGGCCACGGCATTTCCACATAACTTTCTTGGCTTATGTAAAACCAGAGACGCTGAGGTAGGAACGTTACGGTACAGTACGGTACGTACATCGTACATATCCCGTTCTCTACCTCTACGGATACGGAGATGGATCATCCGCATGCATTCGAGATGGCCTCTCACTCTCCCTAGCCCGACCATCAGCGCTAGGTACCTACATAGGTAGGTACACATCGGATGAACCAATCTCCTGGCTGGACCCTATCGAGTCAGTCCCGTCCTCCTCAGTCCGACAACCACCCAACTGTGTTACAGAGACTGCCCGCGCAAAGGCGGCTGGCGGTGACGCTCTCTTTGCAAGTGCAACGCGACATGTCACGGCAAGCAAGGCATGATTGCGGTGTACCCACCTCTGTACTTATGTACATACGCGACTGCATACATAGCAAGCCCCGACTTCTCGGATATCGGCACCAATCACTTCGGCCAAGATCAAAGATCCAAACACCACCCTGCCAACCGGACCCAACTGCCCACTTTCTTTCTGCCCTGCTTAGATTGAACCGTGTTTTATGTACAGATGCTATGCAGTACCTGTACATACACGTAGTGTGGTCTATTAGACAATGTGGGGCCGCTCGGCTTGCAGGGACTCCCTCCGTTAAACAAACACCCTGAATGCAAGGCCATCGAAGGTGCCGGAACCTCCAAATCCCGCACAGGAGGTCGCCGACCTCTTGCTGCGGAGCGGAGCCGACGTGCACGCCGTCGCCGCCAGGCGAAGGAGGACCGCGATGGCACATCTCGGCGCATCTTGGGCACGTCGGGGTTCTTGAGCTTCTGCTACGGCACGGCGCCGTGGTAGACGCGCGAGATGGCGGAGGGAGAGTGCCCCTGGATCACGCCGTTACCAAGGGCCACAGAAATGCCAGAGACTTCCTGATCGAACACAGAGCCAAAGCCCAAAGCCTGAACGGCAGGCGCTCGACGCCAGTTTATCAGCACGCCTTACCTGCGAAGGTAGAAGCAACGGAGATGGTCTACAGAAACAAGCGGTTTGCTGCCCGGGTAGAAGGCGAATAGCACGGATGAACCGCAAATACCAGATAAATGCCAGCGCTCCACGCAGTCCATTGCCGGCTACATCGTGAGTGGGGGTTTACAATTTGACCTTATGTTGCGAGTATCCTTGACAGTCCCAGTAGAAATGAGAATGTACCAATTCAATACATTGAAGGAAATAGAAATGACCAAACCAAATCAAAAGTGGAGAAAAGACGTTGCCGCCGTCCAAACCGTGTCCCACGCCTTGCTAAAGGTCTTCGCTGTCTTTGTCCAGTCCTTGAACTCCAAAAGATAAACTCCAATAAACCAAAAAACCAAAAAGAAAAGAGAAAAAAAACCGAAAAGACAAGAGGCAGAGCCATTGGCTCTGATAGTATTAACCAAGCTGAGAACCACGGCCGAATGTAAGACGCCGCTATGGCTGCTGGCTCCGGTCCAATCTGTCCCTAGCGGCATCCACGGCGCTCCTGTCGAGAGCCGGCGTGCTTCTCTGGCTGCCGCTCCCGTCGTCCTCGGCGGCGCCGTCGTCGACCGCGAAGAGCTCCCACCGCTTCATTCCGCTATCCATGCCGGGCCACAGGTCTGTCGGGATATACTCGCCAATATCTTGACGGAAGCCCTCACGCTCCCGCCGGTCGTTCTCCATCAGTTTGTCGACGCTGTCCTTGGCCTTCCTCCAAATGGTGGAGATTTTATCCTCCACCATGCGGCGCCGCTCGACCTCGAGGATCAGATTGTCGTAGGCGTTTGCGTACTTTTCGTAAAAGTCTCGGAGATCGTCCATCTCCCCGAGCTTGTTATAGATGGTGTACCGCTCGTCCTCCCACCGCTGCAGGAATTCCGCCTCGCTAGCGATATAGCTGGCCATGCGACCGCCCATATCTTCCAGGGCAGTAAACGCATCTAGTGTCCCGAGGAACGCCGCCTTGATCTGCTCCGTCTGTTG